TGTTGTTATATGCTACTGCATTTCTGCTGATCTTCCTCTTCTTTTACTTCCAATATCAGGTACACAACTGACACGCTGGTTACTGTAAGCTGAAACATGAAGCATGAATATGAAATGAAGAGTTGAAGTTCTGAATTTATCTTAGTTATATTCTGAATTTTAGTTGTGTATACACATTATGTAGTTTCCTCTAATCAGAATCATGTAGTTGTTTAATATATAATGGAACATCTAACAGTAGCTTAGTGGACGAACTGTCTATGTATTGCTAAAAAAATGATGTAGTAACTCTGTTTAGATAGTTTGTTATTGTTTGATGATTATCATATCTCAAAAAGCATGTTAGCTGATTTAGACTATTCTTAAACATTCAACAGTTAGCTCATTAAACGAATAGACCGTTTCAGAACTTGTAGGAATATTGTTTAGCTAGATACTATTGGTTAATTTAAGCATGTAAATGGTTTAGGATTAAAATTAGATTGCCAAGTTTTTTTTTAATTTGACAAACTGTGAGCATGCCTAGTATAATGTAACTAGGTAGTAACATGTGAATGAGATGACCCAGGTCCAGTTTTGTGCCATACACGTTGGGCCTGGGTCCACGTTGGCCAACGGGCTGTCCATATTGTGCTTACATTCTGATTTAACAAATTGCGTTCGGAACCCGACTATAACAACTCGTAGCATGTAAATAAATTAGGAACTTTTCTCTTTCATTTTTTAGAGACAAATTTAATAGAAAAAATGTTGGCACTTTAGGATTATCCTTTTAAAATAAATGAGATGAGCCTCACCCAATAAAACGCACAAGTTGCGGGGCCCTCAATTAATGGTTAATAATTGTATAGACTTCAGGATCAGTCGTTTAGCAAATTTCACGGCCTTACCCAAAATAGTGATACGCTAGTCGCTTTAGGCACGCCTTTAACAATTTATTTTCTTAAACTCGGGTGCACATTTATGTGACCCAAATCCAAATCTCAATAAATTCGAAATATGTCGATAACCATGGATACATTGATGTGGCGTAGTTCGAGATATATTTTCACGATGTTGCAATTCTCTGTTAAAATAATAATAATGATAAAAACGGTTAAAAGTTAAAATTCGCACATATGTTCAACATGTATTATATCAGATAATCAAGCCGAATATGACAGTTGAGCGACCATGTTAGAACCACGGAACTCGGGAATGCCTAACACCTTCTCACGGGTTAACAAAATTCCTTATCCGGATTTCTGGCGTGCAGACTGTTAAACAGAGTCAATATTTTCCTTGATTCGGGATTCAACCGGTGACTTGGGACACCATAAATCTCCCAAGTGGCGACTCTGAAATAAATAAATAAATCCCGTTTCGATTGTCCTTTAATTGGAAAAACTCCCTACCGCGTCCCTTCGCGGCGGCGCTGGCGAAAAAGGAGGTGTGACAAAAGGTTCATTGTGTCGTATGAGGTGCTTTCTGGTAAGATGCGTAATAGGGTTCATTTCGAAAATTTATACAAGACCACTACTACAGCGACAGAGGAGTGCTATCACAAAAAGAAAGAGATCTTTATGGATATAATAAATAAACATGAGAAGAATGAGCAGCGGAATAGGGGTTCTAAAGTTCTCATGCACCTAAAAGATTATGGGGAACAACAAAATATTCTTAATAAAGTTCCTAAAGTTGAAACGACTAAGTTTACTATTTCTAATAGTTCAAAGGATCCTTATAGGTTTTAGTAGAATACTTACCACGCTATGAGCTATAAAATATTTCATGAAGAGTTCTATGGAACATGCAACTTTTAGACTAGAGAACATGGCGAATACATGAAATGCTACTATTTTCTTAGAGATGCCAACAAGAGTAACACAACTAATTTAAGGATAATTTCACTAAAGTGTTTATGAATCACTTCCTTCTTGACAGTTTGTGACGTGAACTTGCAAGCTAGATCATTTAAGAAAATGATTTAGACGTTGGGTATAATTACATATAACACCAAACCTTCTCAGTTGGATACACAAGCAACATCTTAAGTTTCGAGGCTTGTTGAAAGGTTCGTCAATTGTTCAAACAAGGTAGTAACTGCATATATGAAGATTGAAGACTTAAACCTATTTTATAGCAGTTGCACTTACCAGAAAGATTGAAAATATGGAAATGATAGGCGTGCAAAAACTCACATAAGAAGATTGAGATTAGAATATCTTTTAGTATGAATTGTATTATGAGTCGAAGATTTAAAAATCAAGAATGTTTTGAGATATTAAGTGATCCTTTTCAGGTTGCCACATCAATAAAAAATTTATAGTAGTTAGATATGTGTTTAATACTTTTAAGATTCAAGTTAAGAGAAGGAAACCCTTGCTAACCAAGTTGTACTTGATATGATTGACTCCAAAGTACAGATGGATATGGATTAATTATCTTGTTTTCATGCTACCCTCGATTACTATGAAAAGAATATTAGGTTTGGCGAACTTTAAAAGCTGGTTTTGTCCAAAAAGGGGATTATAAGTTTTAGATACGAGCAAATTATATATTTTGAGTTAACGGTTATAGAAGAAAGGTTGTTTGGATCTCATAGGTACGGTAAGGGGCACAAGAGAAGAAATGCTTAGTTTGAAAAAAAGGGGTATCATAATGAGAAATTCCCTAATGTATTTACTAGGACTACCTCCAATATGAGAAATAGACTTCGGTATTGAGATGATACTTGACACGCAAACTATATCATATGGCACTAACAGAGAACATAGTTGAATGGGCTAATTGAATAATTGAGAGACCTACTAGATACAGGTTTTATCATACCGAGTGTTGCACCATGGGGTTTACCAATATTATTTGAAAAGGGGGGGGGGGGTGAGTCTTTAAGAATGTGGGCCAATTACAAACAATTAAATAGGATAACAATACACAACAAATATCCCCTGTCTTGTATAGATAACTTGTTTGATCAGTTACAAGGAGCCATTGACCTTTAGTCTGGTTATCATCAGCTTAGAATAAGAAAGAAAGATATTTCGATATTGCTTCTGTACTCGGTACAAACATTATGAGTTATCTGTGATGTCCTTTAGATTGACCAATGCTCCAATTGCATTGATGTGTATAATGAATATGGTGTTCAAAGTTGCTTTTGGAGAAAAAAAGTCATAGTTTTTACTTACTATATTCTCGTACCGAGGAAGAGCACGAGAATTACTTGAAAAATATGTCAAACATGCTGCAGGAAAATCAATTTTTTCCAAGTTCTTCAATTAGCTGGACTCGATGGTATTCATAGGACACATGGAATCTAAGAATGAAAAATATGGCAGATTCTAAGAAGATAGAAACAGTTCATAAATGGCCGAGATCCATTTCCCCTACAGATATTACTTTTGGCTTGACAAGCTAATTATGTAGGATTTCTCTAGAATAGCACTACCACTCACCAAGTTAACATAGAAAATCGCTAAATTTTAGTGGATGGAGAAATGTACAACGAGAAAGCATGTTTGACAATCACACTAATATTAACCTTATTCCAATAGGCTCTAGAGGATTCACGATGTTATGTGATACTTTGAGGGTAGGATTATGATATTTTCTCATGCAAAATAGTCGCGTGATAACCTATGCTCTAAGGAATATTGAAGAAGCTCAAGTCGTATTATGCCATTCATGATTTGGAGATGGTCATATTGGTGTTTCCTTTTAAGATTTAGAGACACTATTTATACGAAGAAACCTATGAGATTTATACCTAGCACAAGAGCCTGAAGTACATTTAAAACCAACAGAGATAAATATTTAGCAATGTTGATGGAGGGAACTACTGAAGATATAATTGTACTATTTTGTACTGTTCGGGAAAGATAAATATTATAACTTATGCAAAAAATATTATGGGTGATTTGACGCATTTAGCTCCTGTAAAGATACTTCTGGACAAAGATATGCATAGACTAGAACGTACAAGTATTAGATTCAATGAAAAGAAAATTCAAAGACATTATTGGCTATTAGTCAAGCTCGATATAGATGTATAAAGGCTAGCCAATACGAGGATGAGCGATTGTTTAATTACCGAGATTTGTTTATAAGTGGTAAAAGCAAGGATATGATTGTTAATAGTAAGGAAATTCTCCGACTAGGTAATTAATTATGCGTAGCAAACATATATGGGCTGAGACAAGCTATTCGTGATGGAGCTCACAACTCCAGATACAGTGTATATCTCAGGTCTATAAGATGCACCATGACTATAAAAAAAATTGATTGGTTAGAAAAGAAAGAAGGGAAAAAAAACTCGTTAACTTTGTTTCTAACTATTTGTCATGTCAGTATGTTAAGGCAAGCACTTGCGACTCACATGCCCACTAAAATAACTCAAGATTCTGAAGTGGAAATACAATAAAACAATACATATATGACTAAATTACTCAAACCATTAGTGGTATGATTATATGTGGGAAAGTTGTAAATTGACTTACCAAGTAGGCACATTTCTTGCTAGTCAAAACTTCTTATAGTGAGATAAAGTATGCATAGATATGCATGAACAGAAAATTATCTGACTCAATAGTTCTCTATTGTCCATCAGCTCTAATAAACTATCGCATTCACTTCACGATTTGAAAACCTTTTCAAGAAAGGTTAGGTACACGAGTAGATCTTAGTACTAGTTTTATTGCACGCAAACACAAAGTCCAAAAGTGCTATACAGATCTTGGATGATATGTTGAGAGAGTGTATTCTTAAGTTTGGAGGTAGTTGGGATGCTTATCTACCTTTAGCTGAGTTTGCTTACAACAATAGCTTCTAGTCCAGTATTCAAATGGCACCGTACGAAACATTGAATGGTAGAAGATGTCGTTCTCCTATCGGATGGTTTAAAGCTGGTGAGACTAACTTATTGGGACCCGACCTAGTACAAGAAACTATGGACAAGGTCCAGTTGATCAGACAGAGATTGCTTGCAGCTCAAAGTAGACAAAAGTCTTATGCTGATAAGAGAAGAAGAGATTTAGTGTTCACAATTGGGTACAAAGTGTTCCTACGAGTCTCCCCTATGAAAGGTGTGATGCGGTTTGGGAAAAGAGGCAAGTTGAGCCCCAGGTTTAGAGGACCATATGAGATACTAGACCGAGTGAAAGCGGTGGCTTATCGTTTGGCACTTCCTCCTAAGTTATCTTTTATTCACCCAGTGTTTCATGTCTCAATGCTAAGAAAATGTATATCAAACTCATCTCAGGTGCTTGAAGCACCAACTATACTGCTTGATGAGAAGTTGTCTTACGAGGAAGAGCCGATGGCAATTGTTGATAGACAAGTAAGAAAGCTACGGTCAAAAGAAATTGTGTTCGTAAAAGTTTTATGGAGAAATCATGCCGCTGAAGAAGCTACTTGGGAAATAGAGGATAATATGCGAGTCAAGTACCCCTATTTGTTTCAGTCTACAGGTACGTACTTGAGTTAAATTCGGGGACCAAATTTCATAAGGTGGGGAGGATGTAATACCCTATATTTTTCATAAGGGTGTATTGGTAATTAGCAAAATAATAATAATAAGAAACTAACTTTAAAAAAACAACAACAAAACAAATCAAAAAAATAATAAAAAAGAGACAAGTAAAGAAAAGGGTCGAAGCCCCTTTCTCTGCCCAAATCAAAAAGGAGAAAAAGAAAGGTCTTGGCGTAACCAAACCAGAAGCAAAAGAAAAAGGGGTTTTAAAAAAAAGAGAAACCCCTAGCCAACGCAAACATCACAGCACGGCAAAAGCAGCAACAGAGAAAAACGAAAAAGGGAAAGGTTTCTGGTGTTACCTCAGTGCCAAATACCGTTTCCATTAAACGTTGGTATATATTCTGTAGTCTCAGAGATAAGCCCAGGTAATTGCATATATTTTTCCTTCTTTTGAAACAATAGTAGTTTTTATACATGATTCTTCGCGAGACTAAGCAAATATAATATGGGATTTGAGTCTGAGTTAGAAGAGGAGGTTAGAAACTAAGAGAAATCCATAAACCTTTTCATGAATTAAGCGGGTATATTAGATGAATAGGTTGGGGTTGATAGATTAATAATTACTCATCCCGTGGGTGAATATAATTCGGTGAACTAAGATTCAAATATGGAACCTCGAGGGTTGGGGATTCTAAATTAGCTATGAATTAGCCTAAACATAGAAATTAACATGAGACCGATATTATGTAATTATAGATTGAATAGGAGGAAGTTGTACGAATTGCTCGAGGTGAAGCATTTGGAATTTCGGCATGAGTACTGTGAGTAGTAATCTTACAGCAATTTGTGTTTTATAGCTTGCATGATTTACACATGATTTTTAATATGAATATGTTACCGATTATTTTGAGTTGCATGTGGGACAAGTATTTTACTCGATATGATACCGAAATAGTTATTTGAGATGAATACCGTGATTTTAAATATTTTCATTGTCAATAGATATGTTTTACTGTTACTTGAATTTACTATCATCGAAAGGAAATTATATGATTTGATAAGAACTGAAATGCCCTATATTGTTTTAAAATAGTTTCTACGAGTATATATGGATTACAGAGACAAGTATAAATGGGAATAGACATTGAAGGATCCTGTAGCTAACGACGGGTTCGTTAGACCTAGTACACCTTGTATTTACCGATTACAGAGTACAGTTATAGCCCTCGCTATTGGAAAGGTATAACTAGCATACCGTTACCGATTTCCCTCGAGTAGGGACTACCGTTATATTTGACTTCTTGCGAAGAAGTCCACAGTTATACCGATTACATGATCTGTTCATTGAAACCTCCCAAATTTGAATATTGATATTATACAGTGGTTACCGAGCTTATTACTGAATTATTAATTGTATTATACTACAAGAAAGGCATGATGAGGCTGAAATTTTTTTATTATTTCTGAAAGGGCATTTTTATATTATCTTTTGTTTGAGATACTAGAATGTTTTCTGACTTGTCCCCAATAAAAATGGTTGGGGTTAAGTATTATTACTCACTGAGCTAGCGACTCACTCCCCGCTATTTTTTTTTCCAGAGACAACAATTGAAGGGCGAGGATTTCGTTAGTCATACGCACAAGTTGATAATTTCTGGTGAGCCCCGCATTTATTCGCATGGGCAGAGATTTTATTTATTCTTATGGTCTTTTCTTTGAACTCTTAGAGTCGCTCCATAGTCAAATTTTTTAGTGTCTTGAGTATTCTTCATTATTATAGATTTATGTTGAGTATCGCTCATTCTTATCAAATTTGGAGATAAAGTAGTATTTTTAGTTGTTGGTGGGTGGACTGTTAAAGGTAGACATTTATTTTGGTTAATTGATAAGGTTATTGTAATTTTAATTGCTATTAGGATGTTTGGTTGCTGATTTGAAACAAGGAAAATTTTGGGATAGTCCAAAAATAAGGGAAACTCTGTCTGATTTTCTGTAAAATATTGATGAGGCTTACTTGGGGGCACTTGCTCCTAAGCGCCGGTCATGATCCTAAATTGGGTCGTGACACCGAGTTCCATTTCATTTGAGATGATTTTATGCCTTAATTGAGAAATACTATGAGTTAGTATTTTGTATGTGAATTATCCACTGTATTAGAAGGATATAGTGATAATATTGAATCTCTGATTCAGATGAGAAAAGCTCAATAGTGATTGTGTGATCACCTTTTGGTGGGTGTTGTGGTATTAAAATTGCCTAGAAGTGAGGTTGATTAAGCAACCTTGGCGAGTTAAACCGACAATAATTATGTCGATAAATTGTGATTGCCAAGACGCAATAACCATAAGAAAATAAATCTTTCAATGGGAAGAATAGACACATTCTCTTGAGATATAATGTGATAAAGCAATTGCTTAGAGACAAAAATTTTTTCATACATATAACGTGTAGTCAAAAGAGGATTTGACCGATCCTTTGGATTATAAGTGAAACATCGAGGGGTTGAGACTTTTGCCAATTTGAGATGTATCAACAATGATGGTAACCCAACCTATGTGATTGGAGATCCCATGAAGTAGGTTCATATTGATAATAACAAGTCATTAGTTGATCAAATGTGCACTATTAAAGTATGTCTCTTCCTATGGTGTATGTGTACATAGTGCAAGACTGCAAGGAATGTGAGGTTGAGTTATTAAACTCTTAATCCAATAATCCATAACCTTTTGTAGGTGGTGTATTGCAATGCAGAATACATTTGATGGATGGACCTATATCAGTGTGAAGTGGGGCCGCTCCTATGAAATTTGTGGCGAAATTTCTAGAGTACTCATGAAAACAAGGCGCGCGCATGGCCTGTTAGCGCAAAACCGCGATAAACAACAAAGTGTGTGGGGGTATAATGTGATAGATAAGACACTAAACTTACAAAAGAATTCTTGGTTCATAGAAATTTTAAACTTCACCAATTGTTCTGTAAGTTTAATCTTATTTTATCTAGGTCTGGTTCATAGTCCAAAAGACACCAAATTCGACGCATTATGCTCATTTGTGAAAACCCAGAATTTTTTTTATTTTATTTTATTCTGTGATATTTTTTTGAGCTACGTGGGGGATTGTTGGAAAAAATAATTTTAATATCCCAAAAAGAAATAGTCAAATTGATGTCTTGGTCCATTCTTTTAATATTATCTTAATGAGCCTTTATTATACTAATTAATTGAATATATTTTACTATCTATAACTGAAAATTTTAATATTTGAATATAATATTTTTACTAACCTTGAATGAGTATCATTATGGCTATCAAAATAAGTTTGATTTATTTTGATAATCAATTTGCTATTTGAAACGTTTTCGGCATTATTGCTCTAAAGTTGTGTAACGTTTCTTATTGGAAATATTTCTTAACTTTGATAACATTACTTTAATATGCAATGTTACATTCAATCAGATGTTCAATTTGGACTATATATAAGTATATGTTTGTGTTCATTTTGAAGGTGGAAGAAAGAAAAACTTTTCTTCTATTGTGCTGGGTTGTCTTTGTTAATCTTTGTTGTTTCTACTCCTAATTTATACTAGAAGAGCTTGTTGAATCCTGGGGAATACTCCTAATTTTATTCATTACGGTGTGGGCGAAATATCCTTAAGGACAGTGTCCTTAACATGCCTCAAGCTAAACCTTTTATTCTCCATAATCATCCAATTTTTCCAACAAAAAAGAGGTCCAGAGTGTTTGTGTGGTTATAAATGCTTCTCACTAAGGGTATAATTGGATGTTTAAGCTAATAGAGGGAGTATACATTTTTAAAGAACTATGCTTTTTTTTCCTTTTATAGTTGAGACTGTAAATGTTTTACTTAGCTTGGCTAAAAATAAAAATAAAATTAATTGGACTCGAGCACTGGACGTGTCACGACCCGGATTTTTCACCCTCGAGAGTCGTGATGGCGCCTACTCGTAGAAGCTAGGCAAGCCACAAAATATAGGAATTTAACTCTTTCATTTTAAATCCTTCTATCAACTTGAATTAACAAATAATCAAAAATTTAAAGATTAATGATAACAGAATAAGAGGAAGACTTAAACAGCTAAAAATGATCAAAATCAGTACTACAATGCCAATATACTCCTCTACCCAAAATCTGGTACCACAATATTCACGGACTATCTATGAGTACTACATACAAATGTCTGAAAAGAGAAATACAGTCTGTCTTGGAAGCAAGTGAATGAACATATAAATGGATAGAAGAGAACGCCGGGCCCGCGGACGCCTGCAGGACTACCTCGGGATCTCTGGATGGACTGAAAGCTAGCTCCCCAAGTGCTATTGTCCCAATGCTGCTCCGGTATCTGCATAGAGTGCAGAGTGTAGCATCATCACAATCGACCCCATGTGCTGGTAAGTGTCTGGCCTAACCCCGTCGAGGTAGTGACGAGGCTAGGACCAGACCACCAAATAAACCTGTGCAGTTATATAATATACAACGGAAAGTAAAGCAGGAATAAACAAGTAAAGATGGGAGGGGAAAACATGCTTCGGGGAATAACAGGTAAAACAAAATATCAAGAGAACTATAAAGGAATCAAAATCCAATCACTAATAAGAATAAGGAAGACAAAGGCAGATTTCACTTTCTTTTCACACCTTGTTGCAGGCGTGCAACCCGATCCCATTTCCCGTATCTCGTGGCAGGCGTGCCACCCGTTCCCATTTCATTTATCTTGTGGCAGGCGTGCAACCCGCTCCCATTTCATTTATCTCGTGGTAGGCGTACCACCCGCTCCCATTTCATTATATCTTGTGGTAGGCGTACTATCACACCTCCTTTTTTCCTACACCGGAAGGGTATAAGAGAGTTTTTTTTAATTTAAGTGACAATCGAAATGAGATTAATTTATTTAAAATTCAGAGTCACCATTTGGGATAATTTATGGTGTCCTAAGTCACCGGTTTTAAATCCCGAATCGAGGAAAGATTGACTCTG